CCGGGACAGAAGTATCAGGCATCATCAGGGCAATTGTTAGAAATACAAATTCTCAGGCTCCACTCCAGAGCTACTAACTCAGAAATGTGAGATACTAGGGACTGTGTATTTTAACCAGCCCTCCAGGTAAGTCTGATCCAGACTCAAGTGTGAGAACCACTGCCTGGAATGTCTAAGAATTAAGGCACACAGGCTCCTTTTACAGATGAGGAAACCGAAGCACAGAAAAAAATAAAAAAGTCATTTGACTAAAGACACACAAAATCAAGAGCCAGAGCTGGGCTTCCTGACACCTCAGGCTATGATTCTCCCTGAACCGCCATGTTCTCCTCCCCCAGTCACGTCCTTTGACTGACTTGTCTCCCATTCTTATGTCTCCCACCCACAGACGGGGTAACACCCCTGATGTCGGCAGTTTGCTGTGGAGGAGTGCAGTCCAGGACCTTCCAGGGGGCATGGTTGGGAAGCCCTGAGCCCTGGGAACCCCTGTTAGGTGGAGGGGCCTGTCCCCAGGCTCACACTGTGGGCACTGGGGAGACACCCCTGCACCTGGCTGCCCGATTCTCCCGGCCAACTGCTGCCCGCCGCCTCCTTGAGGCTGGAGCCAACCCCAACCAACCAGACCGAGCAGGGCGCACCCCTCTGCACACTGCTGTGGCTGCTGATGCTCGGGAGGTTTGCCAGGTCAGTGCACACTGGGGTCGCTAAAGGGAACAAGGGGCAAGGCAAAAGCATCCCCTAGGGTTTGGCAGAGAGGAAGGTGATGTGAGATTGGGGGTCTGAAAGAGAAACAACAGATGGCCAAATATGGATTGGGAGCTGGTTAAGAGTGTGAGGGGCCTGAGGGAGCAGTCCAGGACAAACAGGGTTCACTGGTCCTCTCTGGACCCCCAGCTCCTACTCCGCAGCAGACAGACTGCAGTGGATGCACGGACAGAGGACGGGACCACAGCCCTGATGCTGGCCGCCAGGCTGGCGGTGGAGGACCTGGTTGAAGAACTGATCGCAGCCCAAGCAGATGTGGGGGCCAGAGATAAATGGGGTACGGATCTGGAGAGGTTGGTGTTGTGCTGTGGAGAAGTGGCACAGATGGAGTGTGAGATAAGATGCAAAAAAAGGAAGCAGCAGAGAGACCAACTGCAGACGGGGGATCCCCTCCCACCTAGCCATCAGGGTGGTAAATCTGTAGTGCGACGTCAGTATAGAATCCTACCCCTGTCATCCTCAACAACATACCCACACTGCCCTAGCCCACTGGTAACTAGGCTGAGGAAGGAGTGTCTGTGAGAAGGGGGAGAGGTCTAGTGGGGGTAGGTCTCCCGGTCCCACCGAACCCAGAACAATGCCCCATTGTCCCTCCCGCGCGCCGGTGACGTTAAGAGAAGCAGGGCTTCCTGCCGGCCGGCGGTCACCCGGGTAACGCAACGCTTCCGCCTTTGAGGTAACCCCCACGGGCCCAAATAAGTCCTTCCCCCAAAACCAGAATCCGTGGGAAACAGGAACCCAGGCGTCTGTTTCCCAGCCTCGGAGTAACAACCACCCACGTCGTCCCCTAGGAAAAACCGCGCTGCACTGGGCCGCCGCCGTGAACAACGCCCGGGCCGCCCGCTCTCTTCTCCAGGCCGGAGCCGACAAAGACGCCCAGGACAGCAGGGTTAGACCAGGAGCGGGCTCTACTAAAACAAAGCAAAACAGGGCGTGGGAGAGGCGGAAAGCGCGGGAACGCCACCCGACCTGAAGGGGGAAGGGCCGGTGCCCAAGTGGGTGGAGTCCGGAAGGACCACTCTATGGGCGTGGCCCTCCCTGACCTCGCCCCCTGGCGGTTTCCTCTGACACAGGAGCAGACGCCGCTGTTCCTCGCGGCCCGAGAAGGGGCGGTGGAAGTGGCCCAGCTGCTGCTTGGGCTGGGAGCGGCCCGAGGACTGCGGGACCAGGCCGGGCTAGCGCCCGGGGACATCGCCCGACAGCGTAATCACTGGGATCTGCTGACGCTGCTGGAGGGGGCGGGGTCACTGGAGGAGCGTCACAAAACCACGCCGGGTCGCGGGGCGGGCCCCTTCCCCCGCTCGCGGACAGCCTCCGGCAGCTTGCCCCCGCGTGGGGGCGGGGCCCCATCGCGCTGCCGGACTCTGTCGGCCGGGGCCAGCCCGCGCGGGGGCGGAGCATGTCTGCAGGCCCAGACTTTGTCCGTAGAATGGGCGGTGCGCGGGGGCGGAGCCTACTCGCATTGCCAGGGTCTTTCTAAAGGAGGAGCTGGAGGAGGCCTGCGCCCCGGAGCCCGTAGGTTTTCTGCAGGCATGCGCGGGCCTCGGCCCAACCCTGCAATAGTGCAAGGAAGATCCGGGGTCGCTTCCGGAAGCGGGGGTGGGGCCTCGGCTGATGACTGGCCCTGCGATTGGGTGACCCTAGGGCCCTACGGCCCCACCTCCAACACTCCCATTCCGCCTCCTTGTCTTACGCCATCCCCCGAGCGGGGATCCCCTCAAGTTGCCTGGGGTCCCCCAACCCACCAAGTAATACCTTTAAGCGCGGAAAGCGAGGGTCAAAAGTAGAATGCTACATGACAGGGAGGGATTCTAAAAATGGGCACCCAGTCTGGAAAGACCGATTTTAAGATCCCGGAGCCCCAAAAGTGAGGGGTCATGAGTATACTGTCCTTCCCCAGATGAGTGTATGCCCACTCCGTCTTCCACGTGGAGAAGCTGCAGCCCTGGAAAAAGGGTTTGGGGTGCTGGAATGACGGGGGCCTAGCCCTTCTCCCAGGGCATAAGGATGAGGGGCTACCCAAGGGTGGAGTGGAACTGGGGATATACTTCTGAACTGGAACCAGTAACTGCAGACATATAAGATGTAAGATGTTCTTTCCTGTATATTGTATCCAAAGGAAGCTTCTATCACCCATCACACCCACCACCCACAAATGGCTGACAAATATTTATTGAGTGCCCACTATGTGCCAGGCACTGTGTAGGTGCTGAAGTGGGGGGCCAAGGCCACTCCAGCTGATGATTCCTTGCACTCTCACCACTTCCCTCAACAATCCATCGCAGGGATGAGGCGCCATTCTTCTCACCTCTATCTCTATTTAAGAACCTTCAATCTGTCACCCCATAATAAAGCTTATTTGAAATGTTAACCCTTTTTTTGGAAGAGTTGAGTGGGATGGGAAAAAATATTAAATGACTGCATACTGTTTTCAGAATGTTGTGCCCTAAGATCAAAGTCATCCCTTTGGATGGAGGCTTTTAGTACAGTTCGAGAGCAAGAATAAGTAGATTTGGGGGTACTATGTTAATTTAGAGTATCATCTGAAAGCAGGTATCTCTCATAGCCCAGGGAGAAACCAGACACACACACACACACACACACACACACACACACACACACACACACACTAAACCATGCATATCCTTTGTCCTCTTCCAAGGGCATTTAGTTATTCCTAAAGCCTCAAGTTGGAGAGAGCACCTCAAACATTATCCACCTTTCAGGAACATGGTTACACCTCTTTAATGGTGATGGGCCTGAGACATGGAAGCATGAGGCATTTTGAAAGCTAATAGTAGGGTGCCTGGCTGGTTCAGTCATTAAGCAACTGCCTTAAGCTTGGGTCATGATCCTAGGGTCCTGGGATCGATTGAGCCCCAACACCCCTCTCCCCCCAACCCCCGCCATTCCGCTTCCTCGTCTGCGGGAAGCCTGCTTCTCCCTCTCCCACACCCCATGCTTGTGTTTCCTCGCTCGCTGTATCTCTGTCAAATAACTAAAAACATTTTTTTAAAAAAGCTAATAGTGACGGGGCGCCTGGGTGGCTCAGTGGGTTAAGCCGCTGCCTTCGGCTCAGGTCATGATCTCAGGGTCCTGGGATCGAGTCCCACATCGGGCTCTCTGCTCAGCGGGAAGCCTGCTTCCCTCTCTCTCTCTGCCTGCCTCTCCGTCTACTTGTGATCTCTCTCTCTGTCAAATAAATAAATAAATAATCTTTAAAAAAAAAAAAAAAGCTAATAGTGACTACCATTTATTGAGCATTCACTATATGCTAAATACTTTTATCACATTTAATCCTCACATCAATTCTACAAGGCAGGTGCTATTAAAACTCCATTTTACTCTTTGAGAAACTGAGGCACAGAGATTTTATTTGCCCAAGATCGCAAGGCATTAAGTGGTAGAACCCGATCTCATCACATTTCATGCTCTAAGCCACTCAGCTGTAAACATAATATGGCAGGTTGCCATTTAAAGGTACTAAAATATCTCTACCCTGCTCCTACCCTGGTGCCAAGCAGCCTGACCAGCACTGAGACCATGCCAGGGAGGTGGTTGTCTCCCTTTTCCATTTCTGTATCCTTCATTCATGAGTAGAGGAAAGTTACCCCTGACCCTCATCTCACATTTGGTACCTATCTGGTACCCTGAATAGACTTGTAAGCACCTGGAGGGCAGGGATAACTAATTCAACACACATTCATCAAATAGGTACTGTGGTGTTGAAGTCACTCCTAGAGGTATATGTGTATGTTTGAGGGCCCAACATCCCTGGGCCTGAGTCCTCTGCTTCCCACTGGAACCATGCCCCTCCCAGTCCCCTTAAGTCTTTGGGAAGTTGGGACACAGGGGAGGGTCAAAGCCTATATCGGGGTCCTCTTAGGAAAGGGGCCTGGGGGTGGGAGAGGGGTTCTGAGGAGTAAAACCACTTCCTGTGTAGCTAGTTCCTGTGTTGACAGAAAGAGCTGAAGGGGAGGAGGGGAGTAGAGAGAACAGAGCCTGGGGTTGGGGGGGGGGTCAACTGAGACCCGAGATGAAAAGGCCAAGAGTCCTTCCCCATCATGAACCCCCTCCACTACTGCCGCTGGAGGAACTTTTCCCAGTCTCTGTGCTCCCCTGGGGCAAGAGAGGTCGAGCAAGCAGTTTGGGTGGGAAAACAGAACTGGAGGAAGTTGACAGGGATGGGCGGGGCCCGTGGGGGGGCTGACCAGGAACCCAGCTTCCTGCTCAGTACCCAGGCATCCAGCCCCTGGCTCACCCCCACCCCTTCCAGCCCCCACTCCCCTCCGGAACCTAGGGTTCCAGCCCTCCTCCCAAATCCCAGCTACCCTTCCCCCTTCAGTTTCTCCCCCTCAGGGGATGGAGGCCGAGAGACCCCAGGAAGAAGAGGAAGATGACCAGGTGAGCTGCACACTGGGTTGGGGAGGCTGACACTGGGAGAAAGGGAGGTGAGAGGACCTAGGACAGCAACGTAGTGACAGGGGTTTCAGGGGACTTAGAAGGGTTTGGGCAAACTGAGGCAGGAACAGAGACACAGAGAGAAGAAACGGGCTGTTGGCCTAGCCCCCTGCCCACCACACCCGGGCTTGACTGGACCGGGTGTCTCTCAGCATCAGGGACCCCATCAGGATGAGCATGACTGGCCCCCTATGAACACCAGCACTCGGCCTTGGCGATCTGCTCCTCCGTCCCCTCCTCCTTCAGGGACCCGTCACACAGGTACCCTCACCCGCCCTGGGAGCTCCCTGACCTTGGTGCCCACATCCTTTCTGATCCCATTACCAAGGCCCACTCCATCCTGGGCCCTCTCCCCATCTCCTCCTGACTCCCCATTACAGCCCCTCAGCTCTGACCCCAAGTGCCTAAACACCTTGCACCACCAAACCTCCTGTCTGCCAATTTCTCTGGGTCTCTGAGCCCTACCTCTCCTTTCCCCAGCCCTGGGGCCCCGCTCCGCCTCCCTGCTCTCCCTACAGACTGAGCTCCTTCTGGATTTGGTGGCGGATGCCCAGTCCCGCCGCCTAGAGGAGCAGAGAGCCACCTTCCACATCCCCCAGAATCTCCCAAGCAGAGCCCCAGCCCCACACCGGCCTCTTGAGGACAGAGAACAGCTCTACAGCACTATCCTCAGTCACCAGGTGAGACACCTACCCAAAAGGCAAGATCCAAGGTTCCTAGTCTCTTGGTCTTCCCTCTCCCCAGCATCTGCCCCCTTGCCTAGCCTAGTCCCCCCCATGCCCATCACAGGTATCCCCTATACCCCTTCTACCAGCCTTGGCTCCTTTCAAGGCCTGTTCCTCTTAAAACCTCACCAACACCCTCCCTTTCCTCCATTCCTCCAGTGCCAGCGGATGGAAGCCCAGCGGTCAGAGCCTCCCCTACCCCCAGGGGGACAGGAGCTCCTGGAGTTGCTGCTGAGAGTTCAGGGTGGGGGTCGAATGGAGGAGCAAAGGTCCCGGCCCCCAACACATACCTGCTGAGACTTGAGCCACCCCACCAGCCACTCCGCACTCTGGGGCTCAAAGCTGGCCAGCCCTCAACTACTGGGTGGCAGGGGCACCAGAGACTGGAGGACCCAGGAGAAATCTCAATATTCATCACCCTCATCCACCTTTTCTGGGAATGGAGGGGGTGAAAGTCCTCAAACCCTGAGCATAGTCAAAGTAGGATGGTCATTTAACTCCCATCCCCTAGTGTGTGGGAGCTTGAAGCAGTGAAGGAATCCTAGCCACTGAGGGACACCCCACCCCCTCCTCTGATCACAGGGAGTGGTTCTAAGTCCTGAGTTGTGGAGACATCCCCAGGGGGCAGAATCTGAGGGCTCAGGCCTCCCTATCTCCCAAGAAAAGGCAAATCTCCCAAGGTTAGGGCCTGACAGTCCCACCCTCCTTCTCAGTAAGAAGACAGAGAAGGCACTGTAAAGAGACCATTCCCCCACCCACCACCAGCACCCCCAGCCCCAGGATGCGGGGCCTACAGGCTGTGAATGGACACTTAGCACTGCCCCCCTGCCTCCCCACTGCTGCTCTAAGTCTGATGTTTTGGTTGTATCAATAAATGTAATTCTCCTCCCAACTGAAGAAGACTGGTCTTTCGGACTGCGGTGGGGAAGGAGGGGTAGTGGGGGGGCGGGGGAGAGGAAGGTGAGGCCGGAGGCCGCCTCTCTCCCTAGTCTGGCGAGAGGCCAGCTCCCCTCCCTGGCTGGTTAATTACTGGCTCATTAAGCAGCGGCTGGAGACCTCCCTAATTATACCCCCCCAGCCCCCCTCTCCTGGTTTTAATTAAGTAGAACAGGGAGGGGAGTCATTAGGACAAGAAATATGAACTGAGCTGTCTGTGAACCCAGGCATTCTAGCGGCCAGAGGCCACAAAACCTAGATCCCTAATTCGGAACCCAGGCGGCGGTCCCCTAGCCCCAACAAACCCCGCTTTCCAGGCCGACGACTTGCAGCCCCGTGGCCTTCGCATATTTTCCCCGTGGGTCCAGTCTCCTCCCCTCGTCCCCTCTTCCCTCTCCCCTCCTCCACTCGGTCCCAGTTCCTCTGCTTCTGTGTCTCTCTCCGCCCCCAGCTCCTCCCTGTTCCTCCTCTCTTCTCCCCTCCTCTTCCTCCCCGGCTCCCCTCCCCCAGCCTCCCTCCCTCGCTCCCCCCTCTCCTCCCTCCTCCCTCCTCCCTCTCTCTCTCACACACACCCCCGCTTGGGCCTCTTCTCTCTCTCCGGCTCCATTTTCTCCGCCGCCGGGGGCCGGGGTCTCCTGTGGGGGGCCCAGCCGGTACCCCAGGTCTCCCTTCAGGCCCGGGGTGAACCTCCGGGGGAGCCGGGAGGGGAGAAACGGGTGGGGGTTGGGGCGGAGGGAGCAGCGGCCCCACCGAGTTTGGGGGGGGGGAAGTAACCAGGCGGGGGGAGGGCGGAGCAGGGAGGGGGCCTCAGGGCCCCCCCCCAACTATGGACGAGCGGCTGCTGGGGCCGCCCCCTCCAGGCGGGGGCCGGGGGGGCCTGGGATTGGTGGGTGGGGAGCCTGGGGGCCCTGGCGAGCCTCCCGGCGGCGGAGACCCCGGTGGGGGTAACGGGGGGGTCCCGGGAGGCCGAGGGAAGCAAGACATCGGGGACATTCTGCAGCAGATAATGACCATCACCGACCAGAGCCTGGATGAGGCCCAGGCCAAGTGAGTGCCCCCACCCCGGGACCCTACACAGACCCAGCAGAAGCCCCATTCACAAGCTCTGAATCTTTTGGGAATCCCCACCCCCACCCCCCACTCCAGGACCCTCTCCAGGATCCTACAGCTCTCTTCTCTCCTTACTCCTGTTAGTCCTGAGATAAGCCATCCCTCTCAAACCTCCCTTCACCACCAGACCCTGAAACCTTCAAAGAGGGGAGCCCAGGGTGGTCTCACTGCCCACCCACCCCCCACCTCTCACTGACCCCTGTACCTCCCTGGAACATCCTTCCACCTCCAGAGCCCTGCTCTGGCTCTCAGACTAAGAAACTGCTATGCTGCCTTCCTAACTCTCCACCCAGCCCACCCCCATCTTCTCCAGACCTGGGTCCATCCCAGAGCTCCTAACACTCCTCTCCACCACTTGCCCACCCTCCCAAGGGTCCTCACCCTTAGCCCTTGCTCAGCCAGACACTAGGAGCATCAAAGCCTCCTGCCTTGGTCAGTCCCAGGACCTCCCCGTACATCTGTATTGAAATCCCCAGCCCCGTCTCTGGCACCTCAAACTCTGACTCTTCTCACAGTCTCCATCTCGTTTCCTCTGAAATCTACCTAGTCACTCTCAAGTTGGCAGTCACCCCCAAATTTCCCTTTGTCCCCTTTTAGGCCCATTTCCCACAGCCCCATGTGTGCCCACGGTGCCTTTATCTTGCTGCCTGCACCTTCCCCCCCATCTTCCTAAAGCCAAGCAACTTCCCCACATCTCCACATTCCAGGAGCTGTCCCCCCCCAACTCCGTCATGTCCCCACCCCCACCTTGTTCCCAGGCTCCCCCTCACCCTCGTGGTACCCCCATCCCGCCCCACCTCTGTTCTTGTAGCTTCTCAACTATTCTTTCCCTTTCCTCCCAAGGAAACACGCCCTTAACTGCCACCGCATGAAGCCTGCTCTCTTTAGTGTCCTGTGCGAAATCAAGGAGAAAACCGGTATGTGGGTCCCCCTCTGATTCCTCACCTCTGGGGACTGAACTCTGTTCTTTAGAGGACTCAGGCCAAGAGTTTGACATCTCGGGGCACTGAGGACAGTAGGGGTTAGGGAAGTTGCTAAGGGAAAATGGGGAGGGAACCAAAGCCTAGAAACGTGGGTCTCCAGGAGACACCAGGAGGGCTACGAGCCGGCTGTGGGTTCCCTGGGTCCCTAAGTTCACTCGCCTGCATGCTAGGCCTCAGCATTCGAAGCTCCCAAGAGGAGGAGCCGGTGGACCCACAGCTGATGCGCCTGGACAACATGCTTCTGGCAGAGGGTGTGGCTGGGCCTGAGAAAGGGGGGGGGCTCTGCTGCAGCAGCTGCAGCCGCCGCAGCCTCGGGTGGTGGCGTGTCCCCTGACAACTCCATCGAACACTCCGACTATCGCAGCAAACTTGCCCAAATCCGCCACATCTACCACTCGGAGCTGGAGAAGTATGAGCAGGTGAGACCAGGCTGGCGTGGGTGAGAGGACAGGGCAGCCCAAGACCAGAGGGCCCCTTCTCACAGCCCCTGGCGCCCACTGCAGGCATGTAACGAGTTCACGACGCATGTCATGAACCTGCTGAGGGAACAGAGCCGCACGCGGCCTGTGGCTCCCAAGGAGATGGAGCGCATGGTGAGCATCATCCACCGAAAGTTCAGCGCCATCCAGATGCAGCTCAAGCAGAGCACATGTGAGGCTGTCATGATCCTGCGTTCCCGCTTCTTGGATGCCAGGTGGGGCTCCTTCCCCCCACTTCTCCCAGCCTCAGGGCCACCGGCTCACACACAACACGGTGCTCCATGGCAGTGGCACCCTCTAGAGTGGTGCAAGACGGACGCCCTGCTGGGACAGCAGCCGCCTCATCACCATTCTCCCTCTTCTGTAGACGCAAGCGCCGCAACTTCAGCAAACAGGCCACTGAGGTCCTCAACGAGTACTTCTACTCCCACCTGAGTAACCCGTATCCTAGTGAGGAGGCTAAGGAGGAGCTTGCCAAGAAGTGTGGGATCACTGTCTCTCAGGTATGGGAGGTGGGACTCGGGGCCGGGGTGTAGTGTTCAGGTTAAAAGCTCTCTGATCGACTGACTGAGGTGGTTACGGGGGAGTGGGGATTGGGGGGAGAAGGTCTGCCCCTGACCCTCCTTTCTGCTCCATGCCTCACAGGTCTCCAACTGGTTTGGCAACAAGCGGATCCGCTATAAGAAAAATATTGGAAAGTTCCAAGAGGAGGCCAACATCTATGCCGTCAAGACTGCCGTGTCAGTCACCCAGGGGGGCCACAGCCGCACCAGCTCCCCGACACCCCCTTCCTCTGCAGGTGGACCCCACTGCCATCCTGGCTGGTTCTCTTGCACACTTCCGGCCTTTGTTCCCACTTCCTATCTAGACAGGATCCCAGCAGAGAGGGGGCCTTTTGGGATGAGAGGGAACTAGCTGAGATGGGGTGGAGATGTCAGGGGACAAAGGCCAGTCCAGCGAAGTTACTTCTGTCTTCCAGCAAGTGGCCAGGGAGGGAGGGGGAGGCTCAGACACAGCCTGCTCCTGAGTGTTGCAATGTCTTAGGGATAAGTTGTGTACAGCAGCACACCCCCGGAACTAGTTCAGAGGGCTTTTTGGAAACACAGGACTATGGCTAGTCTCAGGCTCTGTTAGACTCTTCCCTAATTCCCTCTCTGCTCCCCCAAGGCTCTGGCGGCTCTTTCAATCTCTCAGGATCCGGAGACATGTTTCTGGGGATGCCCGGGCTCAACGGAGATTCCTATTCTGCTTCCCAGGTCAGGTGGCCCGTCTCCCCTCGACCAGGGCTTGCCCAAACTCGGTTTCCTGCTCTCCAGGGTATGAGACTCCTCACTGTGTCCTGCCCTTCTTTGCTGCCTGCAGGTGGAATCACTCCGACACTCAATGGGGCCAGGGGGCTACGGGGATAACCTTGGGGGAGGCCAGATGTACAGCCCTCGGGAAATGAGGGTGAGTGAACACCTGACGCTCCCTTTGTCCACCTCTCACCTGGACAGGATGGCTTTCCTCTGGCCATGTTGTCTCCCACACTGGATTTCCCTGCCCCAACCTCTCTCTTTTTCTAGGCAAATGGTGGCTGGCAGGAGGCTGTAACCCCATCCTCAGTGACATCTCCGACAGAGGGACCAGGGAGCGTTCACTCTGACACTTCCAACTGATCTTGCCCCTCAGGGCCACAGGGGTGGGGGCTCACAAGGTGACTCTTGAAGAGGACGCAGGCATCCAGAGGACAAACCGCAGACACAGGAGAAGCACAAGACAGAGAAGGGCAAATGGGGTCATCCCTTCCCTGACCAGACTCTCCAGTGCTGGGGGTGCTGACTACATGGCAGGGAGAATGGGGTCCCCTAAGGGGAAAGTGGGGTCTCAACCCCTTTTTTCCTTTCAGTCTTTCTTCTCTCCCTTTCTCTCACACATAAACCACACACCCAGAATTCTGTTGTTCAGATCGCTTTCCCTTTGCTCTACCTGTCATACTATATTCCATTTCTGTATCTTTCTCTGGGCTCCCCCACTCTTCCCTCCTCTACCCCACTTAACCTGCTCTGGGATCTGTGGAGAAGCCAGCCCTGCCTGACCAGAGATGCCAAAACTGGGGACACTCCTGGACAGAGGACATGGGCCATGAACTCTGTGCCTCCCCACCCCCTGCCCCTCCAGATGGCTTTATTACCTCATACGCAGCTCATCTTAAACCAATAGAATCGCTCGGTGGACGAGAGTGTCTGACTCAGATATCTACCTCGGAGGGAGTTTCTGCTACTTTAGGGAATTGTTGACTGGGCTTTGGGTTGATTTTTTTTTTTTTTCCTTAAAGGAAAGAAACGAAACCTTGGGATCCATCTGTACTATCTGAATTTTTTGTTTTGTTATTGGTTCTTAAT